TATAATTTTAAATTTATATTGTTGTCACTTGTCAAGAATAGGTAATAGCTCATAGTGCTCATACTATATGAAAACAACATCTTCCAAAAATTAATAATACTCGCAAATTTATTATATAATAATATAAACAATAAATTTACCTATTATGTGTATTTATCTATCGAACCTGACCTGTTTGACGAGGTAAAATAAATTTTTTGGTGTATTAAAATATTTTTAAGTTTTGCTATTCTGCCAACAGGCAAAAAAGAAACGGGTGCTTGAGGCCTACATTTGGGATAAATTTAAAAATATAAAAACAAAACTGTTTCAGAATATATTTTATATAGTTAACTTAAAATCTATTATAAGGTATATAATTTAATTTAAGATCAAAAGTCTACTATAAATAATTATAATTTTGTTGATTTTAGCGCAACTATACTACGATAACATTTTTAGGGAAAACTTGGTAMTTCATTAATCATTTTCTCCCACTCCAATCATCAATATTATTTATAAGGAAATAACTAAAACAAAATTATTTACCATGTTTTTTTCATACGAAACATATTATGCAATTATTATTTAGTAATTTAGTACCTATCATTGTTAAGCGTAAAACATTAAAATGTCCCACTTTTTAGTACATTTGATAGTGCAAACTGCTCTAGCTATATTTGAAACTGCGCCACCGAATTACATTTATGTAATATTTCCCATAATGATTCTGTGTTTTATATTTCGTATTTTTTGTCTGATTTATCATTAACTTAACGTTGTTTAAACTTTATAGAAAATTCCTTTATAAAGCAGATGCCTATCTACAGTATACACAAGCACAATAATATATATATATACCTATTTATTAGATAATAAAAAATGTAGGTAAGTTTATATTATGTGGCTCAGAGACTGCAGTATGGGTATATTGTATTACTTATTTACTTTTATCTTATCCCATCCAGTCATTAAAAACACGCTATCGCATCGTCGAAAATATTTGTTTGGTAAATGATGCGTTATTCGCTAAAAATGATTTACCTTTTAGTYAACTTATAAAATAGAAATAATAGAATATACACGTAAATAATCAAAAAACTATATATATTTATGCGAATACAATACAATAGTATAAAAAATTATTTTGTAAATTTATCTGCAGTAGATAAGTTACCTAGCTAACTATAATTTGATGTGCCACGAGCCGATCAGGCAGAAACTATACTCGTATAAAGAATTATTCGAAAATTATAATGAATTAAGATGAGCAAGGCTGTTTGATTTATACACAACGTCGGCCTTGTATCTAGGTTTTTGTTTATCAACTGTCGACACGTGTCTTTAATAATGCAGTTGCACACTTGCACATACGAGTATAATYCAACTTTTAATTTGTGATTTTTCTATATTTCGTATATTATGATACTACTACGGCTGACGTCATATGTCATATTAAAGTATACTGACATAGTGACTTAGTGACATGATTAACTACAAATCATTAAGCATCTTCCAAAGCATTAAAAAAAAAAAAAAACAGCTGTAGTTAATATACACTGAAAAATGTACAAACAAAATATAATATATACATTAATATTAATTAATCAAAACAATAATATCACATCGTTTTAGTTTAATAAAATATTAAAATCAAATACTTTATAAACGGTCACTCATTTTTACTCTCAACATTTTCTGACTTCTAATATAATATAATAATATGTATAACCAACATACATGGAAGATGGCAAAATTAACAAAAGTTAAAGTATAACAATATTATTCTGATAAATTGTAATACTGATGCAGTGACGGCATATTTATAAAATTTGACGATTGCCATGAATGCTTGTCAACCAAAGTTTGTTTTCAAGAACTGAAGAGTCATAAGAGTTCTTATATTACCTATATATAACAGCTCATTTATAAAATACCGATTAATTAATTATTTAATACGTCTTATGAGACGTGAGTTATCTGCAAAAATATATATCACCAGATATCAAGTACTTATTTAAAAAAAATACGATATAGGTAGCTTATATTTCTGACTGAAATAATGATAASCTGTATTAGGTTGTATAGTTGTATCTTGTATACGATCCTAATGGTTCGAGTTGATAGTTGATATCAATATTTAAAACAAATTTTAAGTACAAAATAATTGCATACATTATTCTAATACAACAATAGATTGTA